TTAATATAATTTAACCAAGTTTTACTTTTACCATTTAGACGTCTGTCTAAACTCTTGATTTCGTTCAGCAACCTTAGGTGAACCAGTAGTTAGGAGTGAGAGGAGTAAGAGATTTAATTTTTTTTGTTTTTTTTCAATTTCTTTATTTTTATCAAAGTGGGATTTTCATTAATTTTTTTTTAAATTTCTTTTTTATTAGAGGAGGCTTTTCATTTTGTGGTATTTTATTTTTTTTATTGTTTTTTTATTATTTTTATTTTTAATTTTTAATTTTTTTATATAAATAAATAATATAATTAAATTATAGATTATTGTTAATAGATTTTCTTACCTTATTTTTTTTGTTTACTGAAGAGTTTTCAGTTTTGTATTAAAGCAAAGCCATTCTTTTTTATTTTTAATTATCACTGGTCAAAATCAAAAAAATCGGACATGTGATAAATCATTTATCAATCATCTGTCAATCGGACATAATCATTAATGACCAAAAATCAACCTAAATCAACCTGTCTGATTTATAGACAATTTGTATATTTATAAAATCAGAAAGCAATTTTAATAGATTATTTTATGTCAAAAATAACAATTCAAAAGGATTTTTTAGGCCAATAAAACTATTGAAAAATGATAATTTGAAAAGCAATTTTAATAGATTATTTTATATCGAAAATTACAATTCGGAAGGATTTTTTAGACCAATAAAACTATTGAAAAATTAATTGAAAAATGACAATTCAAAAAGCAATTTTAATAGATTATTTTATGTCGAAAATAATAATTCAGAAGGAAATAAGATGTCATAATTTCATAATTAGTATTTTCTATTAATCAGATTAATGGCCAAATATTCTTTACATTTTATCGAGTTGAAATCATATAGTTCATTGGTACAAAATGTCCTAAAATATAATATACTAGTATTATGCAATCATGATTTTTAGGATAAAAATCAGTATTCCATAGTTCAACATTACATGTTTCTTTAACGTTAAAATGATATTAAACATTTGGAGAACTTGCAGGTTGATACCAGCAAACATATGCTAGTAAATTTTCAGTCAGTTCATATGGTAAATTGACCATATGAGTAAAATAATATTGAACTTGACCTGGATAACAATCAATAACATCATCATTCATAATAAATTTGGCCAAAATATATAAAATTTTCTCATATCGTAAGGACATTGTTGAACTAAAATTTCAGAACCGATTCGACATCTTCCAAACTGATTCATTTTGAACTGAATTATTATAGCATTTTCTTAATCATCGCTGAATGGTTTCTGAAATTCGAGATTTTCATAAGTTGCTAAATAGTATTTAACAATTAAATCTAGCATTTCATTTGAAATGATTATATTAT